AAACTGCCATTATGTATTCTGCTACAAACCTGCAACTTCATTTTGACATAGAAAAATGTGGAAGGGGCAGGATCTGTTTGTAAGCTGGATTGTTTCTCATATTTATGTGAGTGCACTTCCTCTGAAGCTTTGAAAATATTCTAGGTAACCATATTGGGAGTCTGTTGGAAATGAGTCAGTCCTCAGTGACAAAAAGTCATGCCTCATATATAAAGTTTCAAGTTTAGTTTTCAGGATGTCACATGCTTTCTATACAGGCCTACGCATATAATCCTGCAAAATGCATGTGAATTGCATTTTTTCATCTGCTCCCCCATCTCTCTATCTGGAAGCTTTGGAGCAGGACATACAAAGAAGAAAGGAAAGATGTCTTGCTGTACTTGCTTTAGTGGGATAGATTCTTTTTGGTATTATTTGCATTTGTGTATGTGTGTGTGCATGTGCGCCTGCTTGTGCCTGGAAGTCATGGCGACCTCTGGTGACTCCTATTGGGGCATGGAGGATGTTCAGAGAAGTGGCTTGATAGCCTGCCTCTGCCTCCTGGCCCTGGTGTTTCTTGGAGGTCTCCCATCTAAATACTGGCCCTCCTTAGCTTCTGAGATCTGATGAGATCGGGCTTGCCGGGGCTATCCAGGTCAGGGCCCAGGGGGATAGATTCGGGGGCATGCAGCCCTCTTCTTTCTAAAGCAGAATAGCTTTATCACCTTCATGTGTGGCAGCCAAAGTGGAGAAGTGATATGAGAAGGCTGTTTTCTCTCCACCTTATCAAATGAGTGCTGCTAAATTCTGAAAGCCAGATCTAGAGAAGGTTTTTAAGTGGCTTTGCTGATGAAGTGAAATTAATGAAGAGCTTCTCCAGAGCCACCTGTGCAGGGCTGATGCTTCCAGCATTATTGGAATATGCTTGTTAGTCTGAGACTTGCAAGGAAGTCGTGGTGTGTGTGGGGTGGGTGGGTGGGTGAAGGGCTTTAGGAGCCCGTAATGCTCATGACACAGTCTTTGGGAGCGCTGTGACCTTTCCAGCCCCACTTTGAGTCATCATTGGGTTCAGAATAAACAAGATGTTTGCAATGTTTTTAAACACAATAGCTCAGCTTTAACTGGGTCCTGGGAAGCTCAGGAGAAAGGTGGGCATTTAAATATCTCCCTTATAAATAAAGGCTGAATGGTGGTGGCACTTCTCTAGAACATTCCACATGCTCCAAAATCAGTTTGCTCTCTGATCTGTCATTCAGAGGGTCTCCCTATCCACTGGCTGCTTTGCCTGCGTCCTGCCTCCAACATTCTAAACAGTTTGCTGTTCCTCTCCCCCCCCCCCTAGCCAGTCAGAACACAGAGGTTATTTGCATATGCAGCCTCATTGGCCTCTGCCTCGGAACACAGAGGTCGTTTGCATATGCGACTTGATTGGCTTTTGCCTCTAACATTCTAAACAGTTTTGCTGTTCTGAGGTAAAATGTGTCCAATCTCCAGGTGAGGGCTGGAGATCACTCAGAATTACAACTGCTTTCCAGATGGCAGAGATCAGTTGAGAAAATGGTGGGCTCTGTATCCTTATATGCTGCTGAGGTGGCCCCTGTATGACAGCCAATGTGACGTAGCAGTCAGGGCTTCAGAGCATGGGAGAGGCTACAGGTGCGTGTGTGGGGGGTTGGAAAGCTGAAGAGTGAGGGGAAATAAAGGTAGGTTGATCATTGGCTGGGAAGGAGATAAGGTTGCCAACTCTAGGTGGGAAATTCCTGGAGATGTGAGGGATGGAGCCTGGAGAGGGTGAGGTTTCAGGAGGCGTGGGACCTCGGACAGGTACAAAGCCATAGACTCCACCCTCCAAACCAACCATTCCCTTCTGGGGAACCACCGTTGCCAATCTCCAGGTGAGGGCTGGAGATCACTCAAAATTACAACTGTTCTTTAGGTAACAGAGATCAGTTCCTCTGGAGAAAATAGTGGACTCAGTGTCATTATACCCTGCTGAGATCGCCACAGCAAATTGACACTGAGTGTCAAGGCCGGGGCACCCGCCCAGAGCCTCTTTCTAGAGGCCGTTGTATTTATTTCCACAACGGGCCCTTTTCCTAGTTATTTGATAAAGAGCAAAAGAAAACCATAATCACACTGATGCAAACTGCTTTCAGATGAAGATGTATTACT